CCAGGTTTATTCACACAATAGTTAATATGATAACACAGATGAGGTTCAGGTTTATTCACACAATAGTTAATATGATAACACAGATGAGGTTCAGGTTCATTCACACAATAGTTAATACAATAACACAGATGAAGTTCAGGTTCATTCAAATAATAGTTAATACAATAACACAGATGAAGTTCAGGTTCATTCAAACAATAGTTAATATGATAACACAGATGAAGTTCGGGTTCATTCACACAACAGTTAATATGATAACACAGATGAGGTCCAGGTTCATTCACACAATAGTTAATACATAACATAGATGAGGTCCAGGTTCATTCACACAATATTTAATATGGTAACACAGATGAGGTCCAGGTTCATTCACACAATAGTTAATATGGTAACACAGATGAGGTCCAGGTTCATTCACACAACAGTTAATATGGTAACACAGATGAGGTCCAGGTTCATTCACACAATAGTTAATATGGTAACACAGATGAGGTCCAGGTTTATTCACACAATAGTTAATATGGTAACATACCTTAGGTTCAGATTCATTCACACAATAGTTAATATGGTAACACACATTGAGTCCAGGTTCATTCACACAACAGTTAATATGGTAACACACATTGGGTCCAGGTTCATTCACACAACAGTTAATATGGTAACACACATTGGGTCCAGGTTCATTCACACAACAGTTAATACAGTAACATACATTAGGTTCGGATTCATTCACACAATAGTTAATACGATAACATAGATGAGGTTCAGGTTCATTCACACAATAGTTAATACAATAACACAGATGAGGTCCAGGTTCATTCACACAATAGTGATTATGATAACACAGATGAAGTCCAGGTTCATTCACACAATAGTGATTATGATAACACAGATGAGTTCCAGGTTTATTCACACAATAGTTAATACGATAACATACATGAGTTCCAGGTTTATTCACACAATAGTTAATACGATAACATACATGAGTTCCAGGTTTATTCACACAATAGTTAATACGATAACATACATTAGGTCCAGGTTTATTCACACAATAGTTAATACGATAACACAGATGAGGTCCAGGTTCATTCACACAATAGTTAATGTGATAACATACATTAGGTCCAGGTTTATTCACACAATAGTTAATATGATAACATACATTAGGTCCAGGTTTATTCACACAATAGTTAATATGATAACATACATTAGGTCCAGATTCATTTACACAATAGTTAATACGGTAACATACATTAGGTCCAAGTTCATTCACACAATAGTTAATACGATAACACAGATGAGGTTCGACTTTATTCACACAATAGTTAATACGATAACACAGATGAGGTCCAGGTTCATTCACACAATAGTGATTACGATAACACAGATGAAGTCCAGGTCCATTCACACAATAGTTAGTACGATAACAGATTATACAATTTTTTTTTTTTTTTTTTTTTATATATAAATCGCTGATTATGTCAAGAATTAGTTTTATATTTTTTACTTTGTGACAATTAAAACAAATACTTTGATGTCATTATAGGTTACCCAGATAGCAGCCTACGACCCTGACCTCGGCAAGAATGGACTCGTTTTCTATAAGCTGGGGAAAGGCCATCAGAACAAGTTCTACATTGACAGTAAAGGTAGTGTAGAGTTGTGTGTTCTATAGACTCGGGAAGGGCTATCAGGTTCTACATTAACAGTAATGGCACTGTAGTGTTGTGTGTTCTATAGACTCGGGAAGGGCTATGAGAACAAGTTCTACATTGACAGTAATGGCACTGTAGTGTTGTGTGTTCTGTAGACTCGGGAAGGGCTATCAGGTTCTACATTAATAGTAATGGTAGTGTAGTGTTGTGTGTTCTATAGACTCGGGAAGAGCTATGAGAACAAGTTCTACACTGATAGTAATGGTAGTGTAGTGTTGTGTGTTCTATAGACTCGGGAAGACCTATGAGAACAAGTTCTACATTGACAGTAATGATAGTGTAGGGTTGTGTGTTCTATAGATTCGGGAAGAGCTATAAGAACAAGTTCTACATTGACAGTAATGATAGTGTTGAGTTGAGTGTTCTATAGATTCGGGAAGAGCTATAAGAACAAGTTCTACATTGACAGTAATGATAGTGTTGAGTTGAGTGTTCTATAGATTCGGGAAGGGCTATAAGACAAGTTCTACATTGATAGTAATGGTAGTGTAGAGCTGTGTGTTCTATAGATTCGGGAAGAGCTATAAGAACAAGTTCTACATTGATAGTAATGGTAGTGTAGTGTTGTGTGTTCTATAGATTCGGGAAGGGCTATATGAACAAGGTCTACATTAATAGTAATGGTAGTGTAGAGCTGTGTGTTCTATAGATTCGGGAAGAGCTATAAGAACAAGTTCTACATTGATAGTAATGGTAGTGTAGTGTTGTGTGTTCTATAGACTCAGGAAGAGCTATAAGAACAAGTTCTACATTGATAGTAATGGTAGTGTAGTGTTGTGTGTTCTATAGATTCGGGAAGAGCTATAAGAACAAGTTCTACATT